GCCAACCGATGGAAAATTGCAAGTTGCAAATCAACCTGGCTGGGTAAATTAGAACAGGCTGGCAGACATTTAGCCAAACAGAAAAGGAGACTTCATTTCCCATGTAAATTTTTTGGGATGGATTCTCTGTCACACAGACATCCCTGGGAGGACTGAGTCCAAATTAACAACACCATGGACATGCAGTGATTCCCTGCAGAGTGTTGGGAGCTGTGTGGGGATCTGTGCCCCATGGTGGGGTTGCACTCACCCCGAGGCCCATGCAGATGGGCACTCCTGGACTGTGGCAAATGGTGACAGGGCTGAACGTGGCCACCAAGGTCCAAGAGCAGCCAGTGCCATAACCTCCAGTGATGGCCTTGAGTGTACTGGGAACGCTGGTTTAGCCCTGTGCAGGGCAAGTCTAGAGGGGAAGGAGGAAAGGCTTGAGCTGAAGAATATGAGGTGGGGTGAAGGGATTGTTCAGGTGGGCTGCTCAGAGCTGATGGGATGTCACCAGTGCCTGTGCAGGGGAGACTTGCTGAGGAATGCATAGGAATGTGTGTTACCACGTAGGTGAGGTGTCTCACCACGTTTTACACGTACAGACTGCAGAGAACAGACCAGATATATCATATATAGGTTATATACACTGTGTAATTGTGGCCTTCTTTACCCACAGGCTTTTCTCTCTCTCTCTCACACACAGATCAGATACAACCCGTTCATGGCTGTCACTGAGACAGGGGGTCTGTCCTCAATCCAAAAAGGCTCTTCACGTGCCCCCAGCCAATTTTCTGACCCTGTTTTCTGCGCGGCAGAAAACTGTTTCAAGCAGCACGACTGACACCGGGCCTCAGCAAACAACCCCCAAAACCCCAGAACCTCGAAGATTTGGGTTATTTTTCGGCAGAAAGTGAAATTAAAAGCCTGGCAGTCTGTATCCAACCACCCCTCCCCTCCGCCCTTCCAGAGGCAGGATGCGACCTCACGCTGCCCACCAGGGTACCGGCAGTGTTTTGGCCCCGGCGATGCGGGGCTGGGTGTAGGGGTGGGGGCAGCAGGTAGCGTTCCCCCATTCGAGGAGGGGAGCGCAGCATCCTCCCGGGAGATGGCCGGGAAGCGGGGGGAGCAGAGCATCCTCGCGGGGGTCCACGAGGAGGGGGAGTGCAGCATCCTCCCGGTGGGTGCCCCGCGAAGTGGGGAAGTCCAGCATCCTCCCGGGAAGTGCCCGTGGGGGGGACCAGCACTGCGTGGACCGGAGGGAACGCATGCGTGCGCTGCGGGCTCCCCCCGCCTGTGCCCCCCCGGTCTCGCCGCAGGAAACCGGCTGGCGGCCGCGGGCCGGCGCCGGGGGAGGCGAGGGGTTAACCGGGGTGGGGGCATCCCGGGCCGAGAGGTGTGAATTCCGCCCGCTCTCCCCCCTATCTCCCCCCCCCACTCTCTCCCCCCGTCGCCGCTATAAGAGCGGCCGGCGCGGGCTGGGGGGAGCCACTGCGGCGGCTCCTCCTCGCTGGAAGCCCCGGCGCTTTTGGCTGCCCTTTGAAGTCGGGAGAGGGAGAAGGAGGGAGAGAGCGTCTGGGGCCGCCGCTGCTCCGCTCCGCGCCGCCGCCGCTCCCGCCCGGCCCCGGAGCATCGTCCCGCCCGGCCCCGCCACCGCCAGGTACGGCCCGTCCCGTCCTGTCCCGTCCTGTCCCGTCCCATCTCGGCTCCTCCGGACCCTTCCCCGCTGCCCGCCCCGCAAAGGTCGAGCCCCGCATCCCAGCTCTGCATCATCGTCCCCGCATCGCTCTCCCACCGCCGGCGCTCCCCCGGTGCCGGCTCCGCGATGCTGCTCGGCCACATCCCTCCCCGCTTTCCTTAATTTTTCCTCTATTTAACCACGCAGCCCCGACCGCCTGTAGGATAAACTCCGAGCGCGCTCTGGTATTGGCTTCGAGTCAGGAGTGTCTGGGAGCCTTAATGAGAACCAAGTGTAAGGCAAGTCTCAGCCACCTGTCCCCGAGATCCCCGGCCAAGCGCTCTGGGCTCCCATTAATCAATGGATCTGCCTCTTGGAAAGTCTCTTTTGCATGCTGGACCTCTCCTCTAGGGCGCTCGCAGAGCGGATTTGGGGACCTGGAAGCCCTCTGGTAATTTTTCTAAGCCAGATACCAAAGCAGTGCTGGTATTGCCGGCAATTCTGCATTTCCAAAACCGCTACAAAAACCCTTGCAAGGAGAAAAAAAAAAAAAAAAAAAAAAAGGCGGTAGGAAAGAAGCTCTTTATGTTGCAGGTCTGCAGTCCTGCCCCCTCTCCTCCAGGAGCAGCACCTCTCCCACCCCCCTGCTTCTCAAAGATACCGTCTAGCTGCTTTTCAAGGGAAATTAGCTCAGGGGAGGATATTTTTTCTTTCCTTTTCTTACAGACGTGAGCTGCTTTGATTGCCTGGAAGCACGATTTCCTGAAACCTGCTCCTTTCTGGCTCTTGCAGTGAGGTTCACAATAAAACGTATTGTGGTTTTGAGCTGGGTTTTATTTAAGAAAATGCCATTCTGGGTTACTCTCTTTCATGAGGCAGATGGAGAAAGAGATGAAAGGCTGACACTTGGGATACTTCATTTCTGCTCTTTAATTGTGGGGCGTTTCTTTTCTATAAGAACAGGCTCCTTCCCTGGGAATCGATGGGAATTGGAGTGGAACAAATGAAAAAAAGGAGAAATAATGGCTGTTGATTGCATTTTTTTGTTTATGAAGCCTTTCATCTCATTCTTCCAGGAGCAGTTCCGTAAATGAGGATATTTAAATGCACTGCTTTTATGGATCCAGGGACACTTCTAGTTACTTGCTGTGCAACGCTTGCTTTGGTATAAGTCGTGCTCTCTTTCAAGGCAGGCTTGGATTGGTGTCAGGTGCAGCCACTGGAAACCAGTGCAAAGTTGTGGTTTGACAGATAACAACCGAGCTGGGAAGTGAACCTGTACTGTGTTAATGCTTCCACTAATTAAATATAATTTTAGGCTCAAGCCTTTGCAGTCACTGGAGGCCAGTGTCACTTGGCTGACTGGGAATGCTGGAGAACACATGTGCTGTGTAACCCAGGCAGCAAAGCAGCCCCTGCTGCTGGTGGTGGGGCTGGGTGGGATTTTTGCTTAGTACAGTGTCTGGTTGCTTTCTAGGATGAAGGTACCTAAGTGGAGGTGGAGCAGCATCTCCATCAGTGCCCAATCGCAGCTGAAAGGCACCCTGGCCCTTCTTCTTGTGGGCAACATTTTCTTTGTGATAGCTCAGGTAAGAACATCACCTTCCAGGGGGTCCCTGGGCTTTAAAATGCTGCAGTGTCTGAAAGAGCAAACCCTGGGGCTTTTGCAGGACTGCTCTGTGCATGCATCAGGTCTCCAGAAAGCGTGGAGCTTTCTGACTTGGCTTAGCTCTTTAGTTTGGGCTTGTAAGTTGTACCTTTTAAGGGACAATAATGAGGTTGTACTTTTCAATACTAACAGTATTTACAGGTCATTTCAAGGACTCTGAAAGGCTAAGACCTGCTCTAGGGCATCACTCCTAGGTCCCTGCAGTGGCTGGAGCTTTCATTTACTTTGCATGGAATAATTTTATCCCTTTTTCAGTAAGCACAGAAATGATAGCACTCCCCTAACCAGCAGGTGATTCTGGGGGGAAAATTAAGTCCCTCCCCCTGCAATGAGCTGGGATCCCCCAGCAGGCTCTATGCCCCTTGATAAGGGATGTGGATGATCTCATTTGGCCTCTGCATGGCTGCACCAGGAGGTGGGACGTGGGGGTGTCAGGGACCCTCCTGAAGTGACAAACCTGTGCTTGCAAAGAGAGCACACAGGCTCCTCCAGCCTGCTGGCACCCAGTGGCACCCACTGGCATGCTCTCCTGCTGCAGAGGGGTTTTGCAAGGGTTTGCTGAAGCTTTCAGTGAAGCTTTTGGCTGTAACTGGCTTTTCAGCTCCCTGAATTCTCTGTGGAACAAGAGTCAGAGAGCACCAAAAGTCTTGGAGCATTTGGGGTTATTTGGGAGCTTGGTTTTGCCAACTGAGTGAAACAATGAGCATTTCCTTTCCTGAGGAATCCCAAATATTGCCTTTTCATTCCAATTTGTAATGAAAACACAATTGGAAAAATGCAAGACTTCTTGCAGGATGGAAACCTCAGAGTTGACCTCAGCTGGAGAAGGCAATGCCCCGGTCTCGCAGGGCAGGCTGGGAGGGGGATGCCCTCAGTCCCCTCACCCAGGCTCCAGGGTGTGGACACTGACTGCTGCTTCTCTTGCCCCACCTGCTCCATGCAGGACCTGACACAGACCTCCAACAGCCTGGAGGAGGGGGCAGATGTCACGGCATACTGGTGGGGCGAGTGGACCAAGTGGACGGCGTGTACCAGGACCTGTGGGGGAGGTGTCAAATCCCAGGAGAGGCACTGCCTGCGGCAGAGGTACAGCACTCACTTGGGGGGGGGGGGGGGAGGAGACTCCAGCTTGCTGGAGGTAAACTTGATCCAAAATGTTGTTGCTCAGCAAATAAGGGCTGATAGAAAGGTGTCTGAACCCTGTTTGGGCAGAAGGTGCGTCCATGAGGGTGCTGTGCCCTGGGCATCCCTGCCAGGGGCACCAGCCAAGCTACTCCTGTGCTGGCCCTGCAGTGTCTCCAGCAGGGATTAGTGCAGCAGGGCAGCAGACACACTGTAAGCCCATTCCCAAGGCTTCTGGGCGCAGCAGTGAGGACCCCTGTGGTGCAGGGTTGGTTGGGGACCTGCTGATCCCAGTTGCTCAGTGCCTGGCTCTGCTCTCTCCAGGCTGTGTGGTCGCCAAAAAGCACTTTGTAAACTTTGTCCCCAGCCCTCATCCCCATGATACCTCCTGGAGTAGCTGATGCTGCAGGCAACAAAGCCAGAGAGACCTTTGCTACCCACTCCAGGGAGATTGTGTTAGATCTCTCTACTACATGGAGACTGACCTTACAGGGGCAAGGGACAAATGTATCTAAAAAAGGGAAAATTATTTCTGATCCTTGCCTAACCATCATCTCTCTATTCAGAAGAAAATCGGTGAGTGGGCTGGCTAATAAAACTTGCACTGGGACATCCAAAAGATACCAGCTCTGCAAAGTGCAAGTAAGGATATCTTTTGTCTTGTTGGGAACAGTCAGTGTGGGAAGTCGTGTATGGTATTTCTAGGTCCCTCGGAGAGGCAACACCATTTGCCCTGTAGCTGTCACCCTCCTGCCCCTCCAAGCAACTGGGAGTCCCCTTTTTTAATGCCCATCACCATTATGTCAGGACTTTGGGCCTTTTACCTTTTCTGGGGGCCATAAAACCCCAGCTTGGGTGATAATTGCACCATTTCTCAGGGGGTTCCCCCTGGCTGGTCCTGCAGTGGGGGGAGGAGAAGGAGGAGGAGGAGGACATAGCCCTGGATGGGGAAGGTGGTGGAAACACTCCTTGGTCGTGATGTGCCAGAAACTCTTCCTGCACTTTGTTTCCATCAGGATGTTAATGTATCCTATTCTAGGAGTGCCCTGCGAACGGAAGGAGCTTCCGAGAGGAGCAGTGCTCATCATTTAACTCCCATGTGTATAATGGCAGAACATATCAATGGAAACCTTTATATCCTGGTAACAAGACATTCTTTGTGTGTTTCATAATGCTCAGCCAAATATTTTGATAGTTATGATGCTACAGCCTGCAGGAAGGCTCCTCCTCTGCTGTTTCAAAATGATTTTTCAGAGGCACAATCAGCTGTCCCAACTTCAAAGGCATGTTTGGCAGCTGCAGGGTAGCCTAAAAATTGAATAATAACATGAATTTGAGGCTGTAACCGGTGTTGCTCTCAGCTCCTGGGGACCAGAGGGGCTGGAGGAGGATGTGAGAGCATGGGATGGTGATGGGCTGTGCTGGCAGGGAGGGTCAGGCTCACCCGGACAAGTGTCCTTTGAGCCGAGGCCATGACTGGCTGTGCTGTGTTTCGGTGACATTTGTTGCTCCCACGCCTTCCATGTGCTCTGTCAAATGTCACCCAGATTCAGTCAGTCAGTTTGGTCACCTGGGGTGAGCGACACAGAACTGCAGGAACAACCTGCCACAAATCACGGCCAAGTTTTAGAGCTACTGGGTACTCAAGACCCTTCTCCTGTCGAGGAGGCTGCTGAGTGCTGGTTCTTGAGATTCACAGTGCCATTTGGGTGCCCAAAAATAGAGATGGGATCTGTTGCAACTTTATTTTAGTGGCCTCTATCCATACCTAAGAACAATTACTCTCCATGAAATCACTTGTTGCCTCCTTTACTGTGTAACAAGCCCGTCCCTCTCCAGCCTTGGCAGGCTCAGCGGGATAGGACTTGGCCCATGAGCTGCAGCTCCTTGGTGGCTTTGTCCCTTTGCTATGGCAAGGTGACAGTTTCTCTAAACATGTTTGCTCCTCAGGCTGATTCACCAGGGCTTTGCAGTGAATTGCTTTGTGTTTTAGCAGGTGCTCACGTGGCTCCTGGGGGATTTGCACAGTAATGTTTTGACATTGATGCTGCCTTGCTGGGGCGCACAGGCCAGTGGGAACACGACTGCTCAGGATTTGGGGGAGATAAACACTCGGCATCGTGTTTTCTGATGCAAATATGAGTTTGTAATTTGCTTCCTGTGGATGTTGTAAAATGTGGGACTGCTGTGCTGGTGGATGCTGCCAGCCAGTTTTGTCTGCAGAAAGCAAAGGGCGAATTGAGTCCAACATGGGGTGAAAGTTTATAGAAAAGTCATATATTATAAAATGTTTTAAGTTGCTATGGGTTTGAATATAGGCTTACTTATGTCTTTTCAGCAATACATCTGTTTATTTGACTCCTGTATGGAGCGCTGCTATGTGAACATGCATGTTTTTGTGTAATGTGTGCATACATCGCTACTGCAAGTCCCTGCACAGAGCAGTGCTGCTGCTTCAGTGCCTGCCCTGGGCTGATGCTGGTGATGCCACTGGCATCCCTTGGGCATCTCTTCCTGGCAGCAGAGAGGTCTACCAGGCTGTGCAAAGCCTTGCAGCAGAGGGCTGTTACACTGTCAGAAGTGCCATCTCCTGTCTAGCCCGAAACACAAGAGGCGGCAACATCTGAACTGTTGGCTGCTCTGCAGTTGTTCTGTTGCTGCTGTTGTTTAGCTTGGCAGAGGTTCCTTGACTTCTGCAGGATGAAAGTTATTGTGTTTCTGCTGGTTTTGAATCTCTCTTTATATCCTTTCCCCTTAGATGACTATGTTCACATTTCTAGCAAGCCCTGTGACCTTCATTGCACCACTGTGGATGGCCAGAGACAGTTAATGGTTCAGGCTCGGGATGGAACGTCCTGCAAATACACTGATTTCCGAGGGGTTTGCGTGTCTGGAAAATGTGAGGTTGTTAAACATTATAGCAAAAATATTGTTTGTAGCATTCAGAAAATTGCAATGGTGCAATGTTTGCCTGACCCTCAATGCTCTGTTTGTGCATTTTTTAGCCCATTGGCTGCGATGGCATTCTCTTTTCCACCCACACCTTGGATAAATGTGGAGTTTGCCAAGGAGATGGGAGCAGCTGCACCCACGTAACCGGCAGTTACCGGAAAGGAAATTCTCATCTTGGTGAGGCCTTGGGGACCGTGGGCTTTATTTGTATCGGAGGGCTGGTTTTAAAATGTACTTATTTCTTTGGTAGGTGGCTTTCAACCCTTACCAACCACCCAGCTTCAGGGTTTTTTTTCCCCCACGTGTTCTGTGTGTGTTAATGCCACTTGTAAATTTGGGCAGAGAAAGCCTTGTTTAAAAGAAAACCCAACCAAACAGGAATTTTGCAGGAGGGTTGTCAGAAACCAGAGGTGTCTCTGGTTTTGACTGGTGCAAGAGGGTTATGCAAGAGGGTGGTGTCTATTTTAGCCAAAACCAGGACACTCATGACCCAGTAAGACTAGAAATAAATTATTTGTAATAACAGGAAGCAATGATATTTTGAAACACCAGGATTTCAAAAATCAGCAGAACCTACTTGTCCTAAATATAGCAGTCTAACTCAGGAATTGTGATTAATGCTCTCTTAGGATCAGTTTGAGATGGAGCAAGCTGCAGGAACCTCAGTGGCTGTAGGAGGACTTGTCCCATCCCATCTCTTGCCTAGTGCTAAGCAAAGGGGAGTCAGAGGAGAAACCAGCTGTAATTTCTTGCAGGTGTTTTAGGAAGACTGGCTGCCAATGGGATCAATACTGAGCCATGGGACAGCTTCTCTAGCTGACAATATATTTGAAGATAGCTTTTTCTTACACCAGTTTTGATAAACATGATATCTGTGCATGTAAGGATTGCATCCTTTTCCCCCTTTGGATGCATTTTTCCACCACAAACCAGGATGAAATTCCTATTACCGACAAGGTCGTATTTTCAGCTTAACAGTTACCAACATTAGGGGCTTTTTTAAATCCATAACTCCTTAAAAATAACTTTGGGCCCAGGCCAGAGTGTTTACTATGTTGCAGGGACTGTGGAGTGTTTCATTCAGATTATGTGTTACAAAGATCCTTTCATTAATCCGTAGTTTCCCGTAGGCTACTCTCTGGTAACGCACATTCCCGCCGGAGCGAGGGATATCCAGATAGTGGAACGGAAAAAGTCTGCAGATGTTCTGGGTGTGTATAACCTCTTGGTACTTCCCTAGGATGCATGCCTATGCTGGATAATGCTTTTTCCAATGCGAAGCTGGAAGCAGTTTTGTCATTCTAGAATATCCTGAGTTGGAAGGGACCCACAAGGATCATCGAGTCCATTTATTGCAGACATGAGCTAAATCTGTAGTCAATGTAAATCCAACCGTGCTGTCTAAGCCAGTGTGTTGCTCTTCTCTGCAGTCTCTGAGCACCTGGGCTGTGCTTATCAACACTTTGATTGCTTTAATGCAGGAACTGTTGGTCAATATTATTGTGATTTCAGTGTGATGTGACAAACACTCTGGTGCTGGATCACAGATGGCTGAGTGACTTCACCTCTCTTGTGATCCCCTCGACGTTCTCCCACTTGGGGAATGTGCAATGGCCCCATGAAAACAGCATCAAGAGGATGTTACCTCACTGAACTGTTGGTGGCCACACCATCCATCTCATGGTGGAGGTGGCAAAGCTGCTTGGGAGCAGCGTGGAAAAATCTGGACTTGCCCAAGAGAAGCACATTTGCTGCTGTCATGCTCTGCTGCCTCAAAGGCTCATGCCATGTGCAGGAAGGTGGATGCCACACCCTTGGAAGTGTTCAAGGCCAGGTTGGATGTGACTCCAAGCAACCTGGTCTAGTGGAAGGTGTCCCTGCCCATGGCAGGGGATTGGAACAAGACGAGCTTTAAGGTCCCTTCCAACCCAAACCATTCTAGGATGATTCTGTGAATGAAAAAGGCTTGATTTATTTAACAGTTCCTGGGTTAGCTCTGGGTGACCTATCTAGGGCCACTGCTGGCTCAGGTGGCATCAGCTCAGGGCTCCCAAGGAGACAGCTCCTGCCCTTGGCCATCTGACAGGCTCTGTCTGCAGAGCTGGGATTGTTGAATGTTCACCCTGTGCTGGTGCCAAAGGGTGAGAGTAGCCATGGGCAAGTGAAAGCCACATACCCAGGAGCTTGCAATGTACACATGGCCCAGAACTCTGGGCACATACTCGTGTGATTTGTGTTGGAGATAAGTGACCAATGCATTGCAGTGTAGGAGAATTGCTTGTTTTATGACTGTAACACTCTGATTTTATCCCCTGAATGAACAAGGGGCGGTATCACACACCTCTGCTCTTGCATGTGATGGCCCTGACTTTTCTCTCTCGTTTGAAGCTGTGGCTGATGAAGCTGGGTACTATTTCTTCAATGGGAACTATAAAGTTGACAGTCCAAAGAACTTCAACATTGCAGGCACAGTGTTCAAGTACCGCCGGCCCATGGACGTGTACGAGACCGGCATCGAGTACATTGTTGCCCAAGGACCAACAAATCAAGGGCTGAATATAATGGTGAGCTTTGATTTTTTTTTTTTTCTTTTTTTTTTCCCCCCAGGTTCTCAAGGCTGGGGGTGATGGGGAAGAGAAAACCTACACTGGATCAAAGAATGGGTGGCCATGGAAACAGAGTCCTGCCACATGGGCAGCTTGAGGAGGGGAGTGGGGGCAGTGACCAATTGCTTACACAAACCTACTTAATTTGTATTGGTGCTCTCAGGGGCAGGCAGGGCTGTGAGTAATGAATGTGGGCTTGGTAACTCCTCTCTGCAGGGAGAAGATGCCTCAGGCACTGCAGGGGGATTTCTCTTCTACTCCTTGGCATTTGTATCCAAGTCACCTGGCAGGAAAAGTGAAAATAAGAAATTGGGCCAGAGAGCTTAGACAAGTGCATAAAACTTAAATCCCAATTCTTTCCTGAAAGCAAACCATCTAAAACCAGGCATTTGGAGAAAAGTCCCTTAATTTTCTCCTGGGCAGCCAGCCAGAGCCCAACTCCTGAGATCTTCTATGTAGCCCCAGGCTCCTCTGGAGGGGGAAGGGCTGGTTGCCTGGGTGCTTATAAAACATTAGACCAGTAAGAGGTTGTAGTGCCTCAGCTGGGAGTCCCCAGCCCCACTGTGGATATAGTAGCTGGAGGGAGTGTGTGCTCTTCATGAAGCCACCAAAAAAAAAGGCTTTGCCTTTTTTGGTCAGTAAGTTCTGAAGTGGCTTTCCCAAGTCTCTCATCACTCAGCCTGATCTGTGGCTCACAGTCCCTGAGCTGGGACTAATCCCCATGCCAAATAACCCTCGGAAAATTGTGGTGGGTTCCAGTTGGAAGAAGTTGGCAATGTGAAGGAAAGCAGATTGGAAATAGCAAAGTAAATGCTCACCAACTGTCAAGTCCAAGATGAATCACAAGCATTGTGTGCCATACATTCACTGCAACTGCTAATAACTTAATTTGTTTGCTAGGTCTGGAATCAAAATGGCAAGAACCCGTCCATCACGTTTGAATACACTCTCCTGAGGAAGCCACACTCAAAAAATCTGCAGCCCATCTACTACACCTTCTCCGAGTCAGATAGTGAAGAGAGCAGGGAGTTCGATGGGGACGTGCCATTGGGTTTTATCCAGCACAATGCCACCTATTTTGGGAAAATCTCCACGGAAAGGATAGACTTGGAGAACCAGGTGTTTGGAAGGCAGGACACGGAGGAAGATTTGAACTTGAGCAAAGGTCAGGAAACCAATGAGGTCTATGAAAGAGCAGAAACAATTGACTGTGAGCCAAAACTGAAGGGCAAACAACCCCAAGGTAAGGAGGAGACTTGGGCCTCACTGTTCTGCTTCTCAGAGCTCTTGTTGAGAAACGCTCTGTTTCTACCTCTGGTGATCCTGTTGGTTTGTGTTTTGGAAACCTCGGAAAGTTCTTTAAAACATGTCTGCTCATAAATCCTCTTTGCCCTTCAGGTTCTGGTTTCTGGTGGGGGTTGGAGGGTGGACAGGGGGTAAAATCTCCCCGCTGATGCCCTGCTGTGCTTTGCCTCATGCTGAGGACAGGAGGGAGCCCTGGGTACTCAAAACTCCCCGTCACAACATTTTCTGTCAACACCCACCCCTCCCCAGCCCCCAGCAACCTCCTTCCCACTCAAGTCCCTTCAGCATCCCACCCCCAAACTGCCTTGAGTGCTTTCCCAGCATGGCTGCATGTGCTCTGGGGCCAGGAGGGCACCTTCCTTTCCGACCTCTGCTACTGCTTGGGGCAGTGCTGGTGGGTGCTGAGCTCTCCTCTGGCCACACCACAGAGGGAATAAGACCCACAAAGCTGCACACCCTCCCCAAAGGGGTACAATCCCAAGAGATTCCCCCTCCCCAAGAACCCAACTCCTGCCTCTCTTCCCCTGGGTGGCTGCTCAGGCGTGTCCCCGCTGCTCCGGGCTGCTTTCCCCTCCCAGGCTCAGTGCATTTTGTGGTTGTCACTGTTGTTTCCCCCCTGTTGGCTCCAATCTAGATTCAAACGTAACCAGCTCTACTTACCAGACAGACCATGACGACAGAGACTTCGACCCCAGGTTCGCCTCCAGGGAGTTCCTCTTGGAGAATGCCATCACGGACAAGCTGCTGGACAAGGCCTCGGACTCCAAGGAGCTGGTGCTCAACATGACCATGAACAGCATCTTTGCCCAGGGAGACCCCATCAACTCCGTGGGGTCACACATTGACAGCCTCTACGTTGACTACGAGGACACTGATGGGGTTGTGACCTACTCCATCAACAGCACTTACCTGGAGCTGAGCAACGGCAAAGCCACCAACACGTCGGCAGAGACACCGTTTTCAAACACCACGGTCACCGTGAGCAGCCCTCAAGGGAACAGAACCCACAAAGCAAGGTAGGACATGAGTCTTTAATTAAAGTAGTTCCTACTTAGTGTTGTTTTCAACTCATAATAGCCCTGTGCTGAATGCAGGCCCCATTGCATGTTTTCTCTCTGCTTTGGAAGCAGAAGGTAAGTGGGGGTAGGATGACGTATGTGAAAGTTTTCTGTTGGGAGTTAATTTGGAAGGAAGGGCCAGAGGTTTGGGAGCAGAAAGTCAAGAGAGTGTTTAAGCAAGAGGAAAGCTAATTGTCCTCCTCAGTGAGCATTTTGGTAAGTCCATGCTGACATTTGTCAGCTTAGGCCTTGCTCTCTGCTGTCACAGCTTGTTGTCAGAGCCATGGCCCCTTTTGCCTTCTCTTGACATCCTGCTCTGATTCCCCAGCCCCTTCCTCCGAGTTCTGATGCAGCAGAAGTTGGTCCTGGCCCCTTCTTACCCACCCTGTTTACTGCCACCTATGATCCTCCTCCCATGTGATGGCAGGAACACCCATCCAGCACCTCCCAGGCACAGCCCTGCCTGGGAGGTGTTGGAGAGGCAGAGCAGGACACCAGGAGCTCCACTGTAGGTCCTGCAGGAGCAGCCTGGGTTTGTTGCCTCAGCAGCTGCAGAAGCAGCACAGGAGTCACTGCTTGGACAGGAATATCACAAACTCTGCAGTAGCAGCTCATTGATTGATATTGGGACCTTCAGGATTCCTTTAATGGCTGTTTTGAGTGGAAATGTTACAAAATGCCCATACTGACAGCGGGATGTGGCTCTGGGCTTGGTGTGCCATGGGCAGGGGCCTGGAGCAGGAGGCATGGGAGGAGCTTTGGGGGCTGGAGTTGTCCCATCAGGAGGAAGGAAGCTGGAGGGACAGCCAGAAACTGTGCTGGAGGAAATGGGGATGGGAGACAAGGGAAAACCTCTTTGTCCTGGTGTGGGGCAGGGTCAGGGATCCCCATCCTTGGAGAAGGGCAAGGCCCTGTAGGACCAGTCTGTTATTGGGGTCAGCCTAGTTCTGGGCAGGAGGTTGGACTTGAGACCTCCCAAATGCATCCCAGGCTCAATTTGGGATGGATGGTGCCTTTTTGCTCATTTTCATTCCCTTTCAATGAACAAGCAAGGGAAGATCAGCTCTTTGCAGCCAGTCTGTCCGTGTGGGACAGTGTTGGTTGGAGGTGGGGGAGTTTATTGCTTTCTGAACTCTTGTAGGTCTTAGTGTGTATGGATTTACCCAGGTACAGGAGCACCTCACAGGAGCTCTCCCAGAGAGGTGTTCTCTCTCTAGGAACAAATCCCACTGGGATGGGGATGGGTGGGTGGCCCTTGTGCCATGGTAGGGATGCAATGCTGCTTCTCCTCTCCTGGAGCAGTTTAAAAATATTCTAGGATGTATGGAACAGATCCAGGTACCCTTCATCCTTCATCCCATGCTGTGGTGTGCAGCCAGGGCTTATTCTGCAAGAGAACCCACCCTTTTGCTTAGAAAAAACTCCTGAAATTAAACAGAGAAATGTGAGCCCAGGGACTCTGGATGTTGATCTGTGGTGTTTGTGTGTATTTGTTAGGATTATTCCTCTACTAAGGGGAATGTTTTGGGGAAAGGGGAAGCCCAGACCTCAGCTAGGGATGAGGGACTGGTGCTAATTTTTGGTGCTGTTGTTGCTTGAAAAGCAGATGAAAAGCGCAGGCAGGGACGAAAATACTTGATTTCGTTATAAAACTCGTAATAAAGAGAAAAAAATAAAATAAAAAATCTCCCCAATTTAAGGGGACAATGAGCTGCTGTTTGCATTTAGAAGAGAACAAAAGGACAGTTTTGTCTTTGCTGGAAATGGTCAGAGCTGAACTCTACCCTGTGCCCAAATGTCTGATTCCTCTGGAAAGAACTTGTACCCGTGACCTCCTTACGCATAGAAGCTCTTTTTTGGGATCACATACATTAAAGGGACACTGTTGAAAGATTTTTCTGTCCTCAGATGTAGGATAAAACTTATTTTGAAGAATTTCTCCTTTTCAAGGGAGAGGAGTCCGGGTCACAGGATAACTTGGTGCTTAGACTGCTGCCTCAGAGCAGGGTATAGCGTGAAGGATCTAGGTAATACCCTGTTTTCCAGGCAAATTAAAGCACAAAAAGCAGATATTGGGTATGTTTTAATGGATCTTATTGACAAGTGTCATTTGTGATCCCTCTCCTGGCTGGGTGACAGCTGGTGGCACATGGTAGGGACCAGGGGCTGGTGTGGGTCCCCAGGCAGAGCTGCTGTGGCAGATAAAACCCTATTTATAGTGAGTCGAGGTTGCTATTTTTCCACCAAAAAAAAAAAAGTCACATTCATTTCAGTTCCATTTCAAACGCAGGAAGCGACCCTTTGCCAAACTGACAGAGGCAAAATCAACAGGGAAAATGAGATTGTTGTTGTTTTTAATCCTTCTGGAGGCTCAGTGCTGGCGGTGGAAGGAGGGTGGGTCCGAAAGGAAACGGCTGGATTCTCAACAGTGTCCTTTTAAAGGTTGATTTGATAGGCTGGACCTGAACTTCTTCTTACAAACAACTAAATAAGGCAATTTCAGAGCTTCTGCTGCCTAGAAATCATACAAGCTGCATATCTTGCCAGGCCAGAGACAACTGGATATCAGGATACAACCTTGTATGCTATTCCAGTGTAGCTGTTTCAAGGGTTTGAGCAAAGGTATGAGAACAGAATCGAAGCCTTTTGTTGTAAAGGTGCAGTATCCCTGATGTGTTACGCCCTCACAGCCTGGAGGATGCACTGAATGGGGAGAAGCTGCTATTCTTGGTTTGATAAATGCATTTTTGTACACCAGGCTGACTCTGTTACTCCTTTCCCCCATGGCATTCTGTGTCTGAGCACAGCGTGGATCTGAGAGATGCAAATTACCTACCTAAAACAAACCAAAATGAGCCAAAGCAAAGAAAGAGTGGCGAAAGCAGCGGGCAGGCAAGTGGGCTTTGAGAAACGGGCTCATAAACTCCTGTACCATGTGCTGGCTTTGGGAAGGAGTGAGCTGTGGAGATTGGAGCAGCCGAAATCTCTGCTGCATTGAGCAGCACGAGTTGGTTTGCCCAGCCCTGGAGACACAGGGGAGGAGATACTGCACCTTTAGTCACTGTATGCCGAGGGCCAGGTGTATTTGAGCAGAAAATGCAAACTTTTTTGTTAAATTCTGAACTGTTTCTACTTGTGGGTATTTTTATCCCATTCTCTCTATTTCTAGACAGTGGAAGCTCTGCCTCTAACCGGGCTGGGGATTCTACTTGGGGCTCAGGACAGGTATGTTGTGAAACAAACAAACAAATAAAAAATTGATTCAAACAAACAAACCTCCCGAAAAATCAGAAAAACCAAACCCAAACAAAGCCAAACAAAGCACATCCCCTCCCAAACCCAAACCCAACCAAACTGCAGCCAGATGTGTGTGTCTGTCGTGGCCTGTCACCGCTCGCCTTGTAAATGCCTTTTTTGTTTGTTTTGTTTTTTGTTTCTTTTTTTTTTTGTTTTGTTTTGTTTTGTTTGCTTATCGCTAGAAACAGATTGAAGTTGTTAAGAAAGGGCCAAGGTGTGAGTGCTGCTGACATGTACAGGTGGAAGCTTTCCTCCCATGAACCCTGCAGCTCTACATGTACCACAGGTAGTTATATGAAGCAGCCAAATTCTGCACAACCGCTGAAATCACCTGGTGTGTGAGTCACTTTTATGTCTGTTAGGGATGGGAAGGATCTGGTGATGTGTAGGGGATCCTGTGATCTCTGGAGCTGGTTTAGCACGACCCCAGATCTGCTCTGCCCGGGTGTAAAGGCGGGGAGAGGAGCTGGGGGCTGAACACGCAAAGCCCACTGACCCCTCAGGTGTGTTGAGGACCAAGATTTGGTGCCCAGAGTGTCCGTCCTCCTGCAAAACACCCTCCCTTTGGGGAGCTCTGAACTTTGCCTTTGCTTCCCTTGGCTTTGTGTCCCTGCTGGGGCTCAGCAGGATCCCCAAACCTGTGCTGAGTCTCCTTTTTCTTTCCCCTTCCTCCTCTTTTTTAACAGCTTCGAGGGGTTTGAAAAGCTCAGCTACTTCCCCGCAGAGCGAAATTTTGAAGATTGTTCAGCTCTGGCAGGAAACACAATGGCATTTGGCTTTTTGATTGTGTTTTGTTTCTCCCACTCCTTCTACCCTGGAGCCTGATCTTGGCTGCGAGGGTGTAAATCTGGAACAGTGACATGGATGCCAGGGATATCAAAACTGAGCCTCTCTTCTTTATGCATAAATGTCCTCTTTTTGCATAAATTCCTCCTTTTTGCCCCCTGAAAAGCTTCAAGGCACCTGATCTCTCTCCTCCTCCACCCCTTGGTTAGGGGGTCCTGGCCCCTGCCCATCCCTTGTGATGAAGCAGGCATGTGGGTTGTGCACTCGCCTGCACTGCCCCTGAAATAATCCAGATCCTGTGGTGCTTCTGGAATTACAAAGAAGGAAAGAAGGGGGAGAGAGGAGTTTACAATCTAAGGGACTTCTCTTAAAAGAGCAAATGCAAGAACTTTATATTTTCAGCATTTTTTCTTGTCCAACAGACTCACGCTCACAGCAGGAGCTTTGCAAGCCGTCCCTCTCCCCAAGATCTTGTCATCCACATGTTCTGGGACATTTTTGACTTCTTTGAGCCCCTGTGAACAAATTTCTCCCTTCACTGGGCCAGCCTGCTCTGCCCTGTTTCTCAGCAAGCCGAGAGAGGTTTTACTTAAATTTCTCCCTTCTCATTGCCTTTTCTTAATGACATATCGCAGAGAAGCAAGGCCATGTCAAGAGCTGTAGATCTTTTTTTAGTTTCATGTAAACCATATGTTCCTGAGAGCTGCAATTCTTGTTACCTGTAGCCAGAGCAGCCTCCTGGTCCCCAGCCAGGTCCCAGAATGGACTTCACAACATTTACTCTGGCACGGGAGGCTGCGGGGGAAAAGGTCTCGGTCTGACGACACTGGCTGCTGCTGCTTTCAGAGGGGGAGCAGGAGGGGCAGGTGCTTCCTTGCCAAGCCTCCAGGAGCCCTGCCTTGGCCTGGAGTGCTGGATGCACCTGGGGAGCACCTGGCTGCAAACAGGGTGTGATGCACAGAGAGAGTGGGTGGATGGAGAGGGTTGGGGACCGTTTTCTGTCGCCTCCACCCGCAAGGCAGGGTGGGAGCTTCCAAGCAGACTTGTTGCCCTGAGTATTTCCTATAAAAATGTGTTAGTCATATATTGATTTTGGTGGCAAGCCCTGGCAGGGGTGGCCATGCCCGCTTTGGAGCTGGCCAAACCCAACCACGCTGCTCATATTGGCTGGGTGGCCACTGCAGTCCTCCCCTCCCGGCAGCATCCATCCCGTGAGACAGAAAGTCCAGCTTGCTGCTGGAGGAAGTTTGGAAAAACGCAGCTAAAAAAAGAAAAAGAGGGGAGAAAAAAAAAAAAAAAAGAGAGTTTGGATGTCCAAAATCACCAAGCATCCTGTTGTGTGTGTGTATTCTCTTTGAAACTAGGAGTGATGTCCACATATGCAATGTGTGTTCGCTATGATGGGATCGAAGTGGATGACACGTACTGTGATGCCATGACCCGTCCCGAGCCCATCCATGAGTTCTGTGCTGGGAGAGAGTGCCAGCCAAGGTACCACCTCAACAGGGCGCTCCTGGAGGGCTTCCTCTGCTGTGGATATCTTTGGGGGAGGGAATCGGTGTGGATTTGGGGGGGGCAGCAGGGACATCCCGTAACAACCCCATCCCTCCTCCCCCAGTTCCATCTGCCCAAGCTGTGCTGGGTATGCAGCAAGACTTTCCTCCTGAGTGCTTTAGCTCAAGCTGCCTGGTTAAAACTTCCATAAATCCTGGCAGAGTTTGCACCTGGGGCTCTCATTAAGTCCAGCTTTGAGCAGTGCAGGGACATCCTTGCCCTGGCTGAAGTGTGGAGAACATCTGAGTGAATTGGGTGGAAGGGCCAGGCTTGCAAACTGTGCCACAAATCCAGCCCTCTGGTCCCTCCAGCATCCTAAACATCACTGAGGTTTGCTTGCATTAGGGCAAGAGCTGATGCAGAGGGGAACCTGTGCTGGAAGTCCTTTTGAAGGTTGCCTTCTGACATGGCTCTCAAACACAGGGATTGTTGAGGTGTCCTGTGCAGGGGTGATTGTGAAGGAAGACAGGGGAGGAAAACACATGGAGTATAAGATCTCCTCGAACCTCTCATGTTAAGGCTGAGTCAGGGCAGGCTGCAACTGAGGCACAAAAAGTGTGGGGAGGTGAATGGTGCTGCTGCTGGGAACACACCCGCCCTGTGGGCACCGTGGGGACTGTGATCTCTGTTTGCAATAACTCTGTAACTTTTTAACACAAATATTAGGGCTCTTTTCATGCTTAGATTCTCCCACTGGTCTTTCATAAAGCAAATACTCTCAATGGTCTTTCATAAAGCAAATCTTCCTTATGGCTGTGCTGTTCCAGCTCCACTGGAAGAGTTTGCACTGTAAAGGAGAAGAGCTGCCCTGTGATTTACCAGTGATTGCAGCTTGGTGGTGGGTAAACTGGGGAGCACTGGGAATACAAACAGGTCAGCCAGCACATTCCCTAGCACTTGGGCAGATGGGAGGCTGCTTGAGCTGGCAACTCTTTTCCAACAGAAAATGTTAATTTTGACAGATCTGGATGGGGAAGACCTTGGTTTCATCTCCCTTCTGAATTTAAGTGACACCTCTAAATGTGTGACATCTCCCTACGGCTGCTTGTTGTGCCTGGAGCCCCACATGGGGTGTGAGGCCTTGTGGCAGCCAGAGACAGGGCTCTCCTGCTTGGAGAGTGGCAGCAGTGGGAGGCATGGAGGCTGCACAGAGCAGTCCTGCATCCAGAGGAGCTGGGAATTCTGATCCATTTAGATTTTTATATTTTTATCTCATTATTTAATTCAAAATTGCTATTCTGTTGCTGTACTGTAAAAAGCTTGACTTTTTGTGTCTTTATCCTTGGTTTACAAGCTGCTCCTCTCTTGTCAGGACAGTGGTGGCAGGGGACAGTAAGGGACAGGCAGTGCTTGGAGCAGATCCCAGCTCTTCCGGCCTGTCACATGTGGTTAGCAGAGTTACAGTGATGGTGGGATGTGAATGTCTGTCCCACCATGGCTCAGGCAGCTTTGTGTGACATTATTGCTGGGATTTGCAGGGTGATGGATGGCTGTGTCCTCTCCGCGCTTCAGCTGAGCAGGCAAAAAGAGAGAGGTCAAACATGGGCAAAGAGCATGACTGAGAAATGTGCTGGCACAGCCAGGGTCGCAGTGGGGGAAGCTGCAGCCCGTGGTGACAATCGCTCACTTGTCACCGAGGACACCGGGCCAGGCCCTGCTGTGCCATCCTTCCTCCTGACAAGCTGGTTTTTAGCTGCAAGCACGAGCTGGGGTCTGCTGGGTGAAACCACCATATGGCAATGCTTCCTATCCCTTAGGAAAACCTCTCACATCCCTCGGGAAAACCTCTTGTGTGCTGGCAGCCTGACTACAGCTCACTCCTATCACAGCCACCTCCCTCCAGCCGAGGGCAGGCAGGGCTTTCCCGTGGGGTGCTCCCATGCCTGGCGTGACGGCCCCTCTCTCTCTTCCCTCCGCAGGTGGGAGACGAGCAGCTGGAGCGAGTGCTCCCGCACCTGTGGGGAGGGATATCAGTTCCGCATCGTCCGCTGCTGGAAGATGATCTCGCCGGGGTTCGACAGCTCCGTGTACAGCGACCTCTGCGAGTCCGCCGACATCACCCGGCCGGACGAGCGCAAGGTCTGCAAGAACCCGGCCTGTGGGCCCCAGTGGGAGATGTCCGAGTGGTCTGAGGTGGGTCCCTGGCCTGGCAGTGCTGAGGGTCAGCAGCTGTGCCTGCGCTTCTCTGTTCCTTTCCCGGCGTAAAGTCACCCACAGCCATCAGACGCTTGGCCTGTGTGGACACTCACCGCTGTCACTGCACGTGGACCAACGTGCAGCAGGGTTTTTTCCCTCTAAAATGAAGATCTGGCTCCCATATAGGATGGGGAGGTCACTGCCATTGGTCAGTCGTGGGCTGCTGAGACCCTGAGGTAGGGCAGGAGCCCACAGCTCAGATCCTCCCACCATGACTTTCTTGGCAGCCTCTTCAACCCCAAGGTGCCAGGGAGGAGATTCCACCCCACACCCGAATTAAGTTCCTGTAAACTTCCCTTCCTCATCTCCAATTTCTCTGCAGCACATGGAAAACTTCTCCTAGCTGTGCCTTAAGCCGATCCCCAAAGCTGCTGAGATGGTCTGGGAAGGCACAGTGCTGCTCCTGTTCTACCTCACTGGTTTTCTTGGGAAAACTTGTGGAAAGGGTTTGTGCCCTGAATTCCTTTCCAGAAACACCAACAGTGTTCCAGCACAACCCTTACAAACATAAACCCGTGGAAACGACCAAACCAGTGCTGCTTCCTCAGGGTGCCTCTTCCCAAATCAAGCACAGACCTTATTTAAGCAAGAGCAGACTGAGCTCTGAGCCGAGCTGTCCATGGGTGCCAACCTGCCCCATGGTTTACATCATGAGGAATATGACTCTTCCTCCTGGGAAGCTCCCAAAATGCATCTTAGTCATAATTTAAATGTCTCTATTCCTCTGCGAGCTGGTGTGCACAGTTTCCCTGGAGCTGATGGAGTGGCTGGTGCATTCCCTGGTGGTGCAGGATGTTTTGACTTTCCCAGCTGGGTAGAGAGGAGCTCCCTCTGCACGTGCTGGCGCATTTTGTCCGGTGTAGAAAACCAGAGTGGCTTTTTTTTACAGAAATCTGTATTCTCCTCCAGCATGTGTCAGGGACAGATTGCTTGAGACAGTCCTGGAGTAGATTGTTCTTAGCCAGCAGCAAAGCTAATCTCCTTTGGATCCCATCTGAGGTGGGGTGCCAAGTTGGCTGGGGAAATAGGCATTAAAAAAAAGCACATTTCAGGGCTCTGAGGATTAACATCTCGGCGCGGTGCGTCTGAGCGCTGTGCTGTTGACACTTTTCCCTGCTTTACGTTATGCACGGAGCAAATGTGTGTGTGTGTGAGACTGTAGTAACTCAAATCCAGTTCTAAATAATGTCACCGGGCTGTGTGGTGCCAAATTTATCTACAGCATAAAAATCTCAGTTGTGCAGCTCGGGGGAAAAACATTCTCCAAAGAGGGGGAAAGGAGCTGGCTGTTCCTGGGAAGGAGGCGAGGGAGATCTCACTCTGTCTCTAAGTGACAGCTAAAACTGTTCAGCTCTGATCAGGCATTTCTGGAGCCTTGGGTTCCCACCCTCTGGCATCTCCTGTCAGAGAGCACAGCACCCGGGCAGGATGCAGCCCTCCCGCACCTTGAGCTGACGGCTGAAACTGTAGAGGGGGTTCCGGGGAAGAGTCATTTGTGCGTTTTCAGCGTGCGCCTTTAGAGTTTCATGTTGAAGTGTGGAATAAAAACAAACGCAAAGCCAGCGGCTCCCAGCTCCCATCGTGTCGGGAGCCCCGGCTGATGCTGTCCCTCCCTGTCCCCTCCCGCAGTGCTCAGCCCGGTGCGGGGAGCGGAGCGTGGTGACACGGGACATCCGCTGCTCCGAGGAGGAGAAGCTGTGCGACGCCAGCGCCCGGCCCCTGGCAGAGAAGAACTGCACGGGGCCACCCTGTGACCGGCAGTGGACCGTCTCCGACTGGGGACCGGTGAGACCCCGGGGTGGCCGACCGAGAGGCCATCGCAACCCATCACAGATTGCAGGCTGGCTTGTCTCTGGCACCGGGAGTTTTGGGGTTGGGCTTATCCTCCCTGGTAGCTCCCAGCTCCGGCAGACCCGCAGGCAGCCTGTGCTCGGATCCAGCCTCCAAATAATTCCACCGCTTTGGCTTTCTCAATCCTCATGTCATCTGTGCCAGCATTGTCACCCTGGGTCACCCTGACTGCACTGGTGGTGATCCAGCATCCCAGTGGATCCCACAGATTCTCCCTAGGTCCTCCTCGAGGGTCCTGCCTTGCAGGGGATGCGGTGCAGGAGGGGTTAAACCCTGAGACCTGGCTGAGAGCCTTAGTGGGTGTCAAAATCCCTTTGTCTGTCTGCTGCACAGCATTCCTTGGCAATGCTGATGCTCCATGCCCAAAAAATGAACCTTTTCCTTTTTTAAATCCCTTTTCCTTTTTTTTTTTTTATTTTCCCCTTTCTCTTTTCCCTTTTCCCCCTTTTCATTTTTTTCTTCTTTTCCCCTTTATTTTTCTTTCCATCTTTTTTCCTTTCGTCCTTTTTTTTTCTCTTCTCCTTTTCTCTTTTTTTTTTTTCTTCTTCCTCCCCTCTACCTTTTTTTCCCTTCCTGCACAATTCAGCTCCAGAGACCCCCTCCATCCCAAGCTATTTTTACCCATGTTTTGATACATTCACATCAGCTAAAAATAAGTAGTTTCCATGGCAGCAACGGCGCTATGTAACACCAGGAGCCTCTGCAGGAGCGGCCGGGAAAGCGCCGGGGAGCGCTGGCTGCTCCGGGCAGAGCCTGTCTGGCCCTTGGCAGTGGGGGCGGAATATTTGCAGCCACTTCCTTGGTCTCCTTTGCCTTGACCTCTTTGGGAGCCACCCCGGGGTTCCCTGCTTGTGGTGCTTCCCCTGTTGCCTGCCCTGAGAGATGCTGAGTGTTGCTCAGCACGGTGGGGCCATGGCACTGGCACAGGTTGCCCAGAGAAACTGTGACTGTCCCAGCCCTGGAAGTGTTCCAGCCCAGGTTGGACAGGGCTTGGAGCAACCTGGGATAGTAGAAAGTGTCCCTGCCCATGGCAGGGGGTAGAACGAGATGATCTTAAAGTCCCTTCCAACCCAAACCATTCTAGGATCCTGTGATGATGATTAAATCTGTGTCGGCTGTGCTGGGGCTACCTGGGAAGGATCCACTGAGCTTCCCTGTGACTATTTTAAGCTGAGCCCAAATAATCCCCCCATAATTTGTGGAGGATGGGGTTGGGGAGGTGGGGGCCTCTCTGTCTGCACTGTGGGACGGGGCAGGGATGGAGCCCTGCTGCCTCCCCACCCCTGACCGCCCGCCGTGCCCGCTGTGGTTTCAGTGCAGCGGTGGCTGTGGGCAGGGCAGGATGATCCGGCACGTGTACTGCAAAACCAGCGACGGGCGCGTGGTGCCCGAGTCACAGTGCAACCTGGAGACCAAACCACTGGCCATCCACCCCTGTGGGGACAAGAACTGCCCCTCGCACTGGCTGGCACAGGACTGGGAGCGGGTAAGTGAAGCCCCTCTGCAGCAGGGGGTTGGTTTTGGGGGGCAGTGGAGGAGGGGTGCCCTCAGCGGGGTTGGGCTGGGGTGTGCGGGTCTCATGCCCCTGTGCCCCATTCGTGCCCCTGCAGTGCAACACAACGTGTGGCCGGGGGGTGAAGAAGAGGATCGTGCTCTGCCTGGAGATTGTCAATGGCAAGATCAAGACCCGCAACCCCGCTGACTGTGACGTGGCCAAGAAGCCCATGGAGGAGACGACGTGCTTCGAGCGGCCGTGCTTCAAGTGGTACACGACCCCCTGGTCGGAGGTGAGTGGGGAGGGAGCCCGGGGGATCCATGGGAGGGAGATGGGGAAGTGCTTTTCCTTCAAGGTGTGCTCGCCCTGAGCGTGTGAAGCCCTGTCCCCTCATACCAAAGGTCACACTGCCTGCAGAATGCCCCAGGATGGTGGGTGAATCTCTGCAGGACATGGTCCCTGAAGGAGCACCCAGAGGGGCTTTTGCTGCACTGGCAGCCTGGAGCAGAGAGCCTGTCCTGCCGTGGTACAACTGGGACTGGCTGTGTTCAGGGAGAACAGGATTGAGAGGGGGTGCTTGGGGTCAGCTGTAACTTTATTTTTTTTCTTTATTTCCCCTCCTCTTTTTCCCTGGTGCCGCTGTTGGGAGCATGGCTGGGGCTGTGCACGGAGCTCACAGGGGGCTGCCCTGGGGATGCAGGGGTTGAGGATGCAGGACTTGAGAGCACAGGTTGCCCCAGCATCCTGCATGGTCTGAAAGGCAGCTGGGGTTTGGTGGCCAAGGGGCTCAGCCCAGCGAGTATGGGCTTCCTGCAAGCCCTCCCAAACACAGCCTTCCTCTCCCATGCTCCAGGCGCCTCGTTTTGTTTAGTCTTGCAAACCATCATCGCAGCCTATAATTAGCCAAAGCAGCCCTGCTGTAATCCCAGCCTGAAGAGGCATCCAAAGGGCAGCAGGCAGCGAGTGCTGGGCCCAGCAGTGGCTCTACAAACCCACAGTGGGATGTGCAGAGGTACTGACACTGCAGCCCCACTCCCGGGGTGCTGTGGGGGTCCCATGACCTTGAGTTGGCTGCAGCCACCCCGGTCCTACAGAGCAGTGTATGGACTGGGCCAGCTCATTCGTGGCTCCTTGTGAAGGGCAGCAGGAGGAGGGAAGATGTCAGTGCCAAGGATGGGGCCACATCCATCTATCCCTGGGCAGAAGCTTATGGTGTTGGCAGCAAAGATGGAGTAAGGGGCCAGTGTTGTGGTGCTGAGACAAGGCATTCAGCCAGGGGAAGAGTTCTCCTCCTGCCTTAACACCTCCAGCAAGCACATTTTTTAAAGTAGATTCTGGCTCAACACAGTCCCCTGAGATGGCAGGGTATTGCCTTACCCTCTCTCTGTTCCCCAGTGCACAAAAACCTGTGGAATTGGCGTGAGGATGCGGGATGTGAAGTGCTACCAAGGGAAGGACATCGTCCGGGGCTGCGACCCGCTGGTGAAGCCGGTGGGCAAACAGACCTGCGACCTGCAGCCCTGCCCCACAGAGCCCCCAGGTGAGCCCCACTGCTGGCAGCACCCTGTGGCCTTGATTTTCCGTGGATCCCCCCAAGCAGCACTGCCAGCATCTTAGCTTCCACTGCCCCCAGTTGGATAATCATCCCAGAGAGAATGTACGGGGGCAGCTCTCCCTCTGTGCCCAAGTAATGGGGTGCACTGGCTGTTTCTGGAGGTAACCCTGTTAAATTAAGGAGAGAGTTCAGAAGAAGCATGTCCTGACCTAAAGATAAAATGGATCTTTGAGAGCTGACTCGGGTGCTGTTTCTGTGTGATTCCAGCTTAAGCCTAGGAAGTTTCATCTGTGCCATTATTCTAATGATTTTTGGTCTCCGAATGTCCTGTGGGATCTGTAACTATCTCGTTATCTGACTCGTCTGCTGGCTCAAAGTCCCTGTGATCTTTAGCAAACACGCGGTTCTAATCCTTTAATAGGATTTGGGAATAAGGACGATGTGGGAGAAAAGCATGAAAATGGGAGACAGATTTGGGGCCAGCTCCTGGCTCAGTTCTGACCTTACTGGGTGCTGTCAGCTGCCCCCTCTCTTGGGATCAGGATGGGGCATGGAGCTTGTGAGGTGCCTTGTGGCCACCTTGTATTCAACTGCCTGCCTGGTGACCAACCTGGTTTCATGCACCCTATGGATTTTAAGAAAAAAATATATAAATATATATGAAAGTGGAAATCCTGTGGGTATGAAGCAAAATATTGCTCTGAAAGGAGCTGGGAGAGTGTTGAAGCAGCCTCTGGCCTCTTTCCTGTCTCCAGCATCTCACTTGCCCTTAACTCGGACTGTGGCACTGTTGGATTCCCTTTCTCAAATTGCCTCCTTGGGGCAGAAATTGTGAATATGTTGGAGTCACCCTGTGCCCTACCAGGGGAGGCCCTTGGCTTGGGGGCAGCTCAGTGTCAGGCTCCCTTGGTGGATTCAGCAATCCCTGGGCAGCTCCGTTTCACAGGAAAGAGCTTGAGCTTCAGGGCTGGGACCAAATGAGACTCCCCAAGCCAGGCCTGGTGTGATTGAATGGGTCATCCTTCTTGCTCAGGTTGAGAAGCTCCATGGTGTTTTCTGGGGGATGCTGGAAGGTATCAGGGAGGTGGCAGTTGCAGCCAGGGATGATGTGTCGCTCAGCCCGTGGTGTTCAGGGCAGCTGTGCAGGGGGAAAAATGAGCTCATGAGTTTACAATGGCTTATTTTTCATTTCTTTGCCTCATCATGCCTTTTGTGCTCTCTTCCCCAGACGACAGCTGCCAGGACCAGGCAGGAACCAACTGTGCTTTGGCCATCAAAGTGAACCTGTGCAGCCACTGGTACTACAGCAAAGCCTGCTGCCGCTCCTGCCGCGCGCCCCACTCCTAGTGCCGGCAGCACCTCCCTTAGCGAGGGCTCCGTGTTCCATTTAGCCACACATCCCACAGACTGGTGATCAGGATGCATTTGGGTTGGTTTTTATTTCCCCACTGATGCACAACTCCTCTCCTCGTCCCTCTCCCGGGGCGGTGCCAGCGCGACTCAGCGCAGAGCCCGTTGGGAGCCCCCGCTATCAGAGCTGTACATAAAGTCGTGTATATTTGGTTCCCCCAAACTGCAGGTACATCCATGTGTTTTTTCACAAGGTCTGGTCCTTTGGTTTCTTCCCTCTGTGCAAGTTTGGGGTTGGTGAGGGGAAGGTGTGAACTCGGGGAAGTGCAAATTTCCCTCCGCCAAGGGGATTAGTGCCTCTCTCCTAATTTATCCCAAGACCTGCACACTCTTGTTAGCTGCATTTAATGTGGTGGGAAGCTGATTCTCATTTGCTAAATGAACTCAAGCCCTTCTTTGTAATATGTAGGTGTATACTTTTTCAGAGAATTTTATCTTATAATCAAATGTTAGTTCCATAGTCCTTACAACCCCCCCCCGATGCTGACATATTGTATATAATATGGAAACATAACTGCACTTTATATCACAAAAAAGACGTGCTCTTTTTTAATATATTTGTTTACAGACAGTGAACTTTATCCATATAATCATTAATTTGTACTCATATGTATATTTTAATAAAGTTGTCATATTTATGGTGGTATTTTGTTTTATTCTCCAGTTTGTAGTGGGGTACTGGGAACACTGGAGTCAGGACCATGAACTTGCTGGTGCTCAGGGGAAGCAGAGCAGCTTGAACTCAGGGGAATCATGGCTGTTTGGACAGTGATGCAAGGAAAAGTCCCAACAGGGGGGGATTTTGGGACCATTGCTCTGAGTTGCTTTAGGATTGTGTGTGTGTGTGGCTTTGGGAACTGCAACCCTGAAGCTCTTCAGGAGTTTCTGAGCAAAGAGACTTGATAGGGTACCAGTAAGAAAAGGGCCTTTCTGTGTTCCCAAGGGGGTTGTTGCTCTGTGTTTCTCCAGGTGTGACCCTCCAATGTCAGGCTAAAGGCTCACCACCCACACTGGGGTGTGCACCCCAACTGCTGCTGCATTGTTCCCCTCAGCAGCAGGGAGCTCCTGTGCCTGCACAAGAGCTTTTCAAACACCACCCCATGTTTGCAGGTGCAGGGACAAATTAAAAAAACAAACCTCAAAACCCATGTCAAAGTAGTTTATTTCTTTTTTTTTTTTTTTAATTTTATTTTATTTCTTTTTTTACTTTCCCCCCTCCCCGAGATCCCCGAAGTCCTGTACAACAGATCACCAGGTGAAGGTTAGTGAAAGCCAACCGTTTGCTTAGTTTCCAAGCTACAAGGGAAAGAAATAAGGGAAAAAAGGAAGGAAGGCTGGGAGGAGAAATACGGTCACGAGAAACGGGGAGAGAAAGGGCTCAAGGCGTGGAAACAAACCCCGGTGAGAACTGTACATGGGAGCATGGCCCGAGTGGCTGTATCCCTCTGGAGCAGAGGCATCGTGCTCCTGGGATGCAGCACTGCAGGGACCAAGCCCAGAATATTAAACACGTACGAAAACAACCCTGGCCCCCTCCCCCCCAAAACCCAAACAGAACCCCCCCGAGAAAGTTGAAGATACTCATTTGCAAAGACTGACTTGTACGTCAAAAGATTTCCTGTGGAATTAAAAGCCCTCGTGGTTAAAAGTAAAGTACCCAGCTGGGCTGCAGCACAGTGTCTGTGAGCCGAGGGGGCTGGAGCCACGGCTGCTTCTTCCTGTAACATCTTGAAAAAGGAAAGCTGACCCGGAGCACAGCACTGGGGCCACTGGAGTCTCTGTGCAGCCAGTCCATCCTCTGCCAGCCACCCCCAGGTCCAGCGTGATGCTTTTAACCTGAATAATGTATAATCCAGGAGAAACAGGGTGCTTTTTGTCACACAAACTGGGAGTATGGTGAGGTTGGAGGGGAGGAATGGAGACAGCCAGGAGAGACCAGAGTGTGAGTCCCCCCGTAGATGTTGCTGCAATGTGCAATTTCTCTCCTAAAGCACTGAAATACTAAAAGGGTTCCTTTAAAGCATGCTAGGTGCAGAGGGACGCTCTCAGTGACCAGCTCTGTGCCTGCTGCTCTCCCAGCACTGCCCTGGCCAGATCCAGCATGGCTGGAGGAGCGGGGGCAGAGCTGGTGCCACAGCCAGGCTGCCTGGCCATGGGAAAGGGCTCAATGAAAAATGCTAAAGAGGAGGTTTTGCCTAAATCTAAAGTGTTTTGACATATCTCTGGATGGGTGAAAAGCATGATGGATTTTAAAAAAATTAAAAAAGACAAATAAATGCATGTAAAACTGTGCATGCTTGGGATGAGCACATACATGATGACACAGAGCCTCAGTTAGAAGTTGCTTATGGCATTACTCGGAGAAGGGATGGATTATTCAGAGAGGTATTCCTCAATCCAAAAGTGTGCTGTGTGTTATTCCCATAGTCAGGTAACACAATGGGTTTGTACCCTCCATCAGGGAACTGTGAGGTCACTCCAGGATCTCCAGGGGCAGGGATAGGCTGTGCATGCACCCGCCATCCCAGCCCTGAGGGGACTGTGCCTGTCACTTGAGAATTAATGACTGACTTGAGGAGCTGAGGAGCGAGATGGCCTGGGAATAGTGCAGGGCTGTGCACACACACACACACACACACTCCCATGGCTGCAGCACGGAGCGCTGCAGGAAGGGGTGGCAGAAGGGTGGGCAATAGCAGCTCTGCTTTGCTTGAGAACCTTTGAGGGGAGGGGTGTGTGTGTGTGTGTGCACATGTGTGTGCACATGTGTGTGCACATGTGTGTGCACATCAGGGCCACCACATCACGGCAGCAGCTGGTTGCTGACTCGCAGTACGAGCCATTCTGCAGCCAACCCTGTGCCCCACCATTTGCTCACCGTCCCTCGGCATTCCAGCCGAACGGTGAGGAGGGGTGGGTACTCCGTAGAAAAGGATGCTCAGTATCAAAATCCTCTTTATAAAAGAAAAAAAAGAAATGCAACGCAGCGCTAGAAAAACCTCACGTCCCAGCTGCAACCATCCTCCCCCACGCTCCCCTTTCGGGGTTGTTTCGCTACCCCTTCACGCTGCCGTTCAGCCCTGGTAGAAACACATTCACTTCTTTTCCTTTTTTTTTCTTTTTCAGAACTCTTCCATGAACTTCACCGAGTTCTCCCCGCCGTTCAGAGCCCTGGGAGGTGCAAGGAGGTGCGATGGGACGCCGGCCCCTCACACGTTGGCCCCTCACACGTCGGTGCTGATGCTGCGGCTGCGGGAGAAGGCCTCGCGCATGGCCGAGAGCCGGTTGGGATTGAGAGCCTGCAGGTTGGACACGCTCACCGGCAGAGCCAGATCCTCCTGGCTCACCGTCTTGTAGCTCACCCGGTCGCCCCCGTTGTGCAGCTCCTCGGGGGGCTCCTGAAGGAAGAAGGTGGGGGGCTCGTAGGGGGGCTCGTAGGGGCCGCAGCCGGGGCAGCTGGACCGGGTCGGGGTTGGCTTCTTGGTGAACGGGGATGAGGTGTAGAGGGACGGGCCGTTGGTCAGCACTACGTTTCGGTTGCAGTGGAGCGGCGGGATGTGGGAGTGCACGGCGAAGTCGGGCTCCTCCTCGTCCTCCTCGGATTCATCCTTCTTGCAGCAGTAATACTGAAACGGGATGGCTCAGCTGGCACCCCAAACCCCCCGCCCTATGTCCCTGAGGGGCTGCTCCGTGCATGCCAGCCCTGAGGACCAGTGGACTCCCCTCTCCGCTGCAGCACCCTTTGGGGTCACATCCCCCAGCCTTACCTGGAGCCTACAGTAGCAGAGGACGGCGATGATACATAGCAAAATGACAGTCGCTAATATTCCACCTGTGATGACCACGGTCCCGGCTGTCATCCGCCCTCTTCTCCATTAACAGCCTGCAAAAGCGAGTGCACGGGGTGATAGGGTGAGGTTGGTGATGGGCTGGGCTGTAGAGCCCCAAACCCTACTCTCACCCCCATTTGCAGGGGGCTAGAAACCAGGAGTTGGGAGGTGACGGGCAGGATAAGACCAGAGGCTGGCACTGGGCACCTGTGGAAGTCACCAGGGAGTCCCCTTCCCCCTTAAAAGCCACCTTGCAGGTGCAAGGGGGAAAAGAATCCTCATGAAGTGGGTGAGAGTTTGAGTGAGAAGCAGCTCTGGGGTCACATGAGGCTCTTCTGCTCACAGGAGGGGGGACCCAAGGGAAGTAAAACCTTCTGACCCAGGTTCGTGGCACCCTCCCGGCTCCTGCCTGGCGGCAGAGAGCTTTGGCGATGGGAGAAGGAGCTTTGCAATAAGGATTTCTGAGCTGTACACATTTTTCTCTGAGCCTATAATCCATTTTCCCCATGAAAACAATGTGATATTTTAATTTGGAATGACTGGAGCTGCTAAGTGAGCCCTTAATGACTGCAGGGACAGGCATGCTCCCCTCCCTGAGGAGCAAGCTGAGGAACAGGATGTGTCTGAGGCACCAAGCTCCTCCACTTCACAAAGCCAGTGTTGGGGGGCTGTTGGGGGCACCCCAGGATGATGGTTTTGACAACCCTGGGTGAGCTGTTTGCTCACAAATGCTGTGGCTGGGACACAGCACACTGACCATCATAGAGACGCTGTGGCTCAGCTTGGTCCTGTGCATGCACTTTGGGGTACCACCAGCACCCTTCTCTGCCTGGAATGCCCCTTAGAGGAATCTGGGAGGAATCTGCTGACACAGCACTGGTAGCAGTGGAAGATCCCTGCTCCTGGCACTGTTGGATTCACTTAGAGGGTGGACGTTGTTCATCACGCGCAGCACGAGCCCCACAACGCCAACACGGTCTTGCTCTGAGCACCCCTCCCCTGAGAGCTCATGGGAGGGTTTGAATTCCTCTTCATCCCATGCAGGATTAGACACAGCTTTTTGCCACAGGAAGGATGCTGGGGAGACATGTACCTGCCTGCTCACACCTGCCAGGGGCTCTGGAGACAGCGGCACTAACACTGGCACAGCTAAAGCTCCAGCAGCCTTTTAGTGCTGCAAGCGTTGGGCTGGGAACAGGAGAAGAGACATAAATTAAGAGAGGAATCAAACCCTGACCACCTACTCTTCAAGTGCTTTAACAAAGCTGGCCTCCAGTTCATGCTATCAGGTTAAACCAAAAAACCAGCCACCCCAGCCCCAAATTACTTCAGCACCCGAGGAAAAGCAACTGTATCTGTCAGGGATTTAACCTGTTTCCAAAGAAAATAAATCCGTGCCATATTTTAGGCGCTTAATGTCCTGCTAAAGTTGGGTGAGTGCTGAATGGATAAAGCAGTGTCACGTTTTATGTTGCTGCCGAGGAGGAGGGGAGGAGGGAAGGGAATTTACACCAACGGCTGAATGGCTTCTCACACTGAGCGGCCACAGGGCAAGTGCTGGGCCAAATCCTGCCCTCATTCCTTGGGCAAAATGCTCTGAGGAGGTTCAGGAGGAGCAACACAGCCATGGGAAAGGTCTGGAAACAGTGCATTAGTGATTTAGAAACTCTGGTTCCTTGGGCTGCAGCGGGTACCGCCTAGAAATGCCCATCTATGGATCCTTTGCTGCTCCCATTTGCAATCCCTCTGCTGTCCTGGAGCCAAGGGCAGGGTGTGCAGGGTTGGCACAGGACCTGGCTCTGGGGTGCAGACTCAGCCCTGCAGCCTCTCAGGGACTGGTGTTGCACCCATCAGAGAGGATCATCATCTCCTTGCCAGCCCACTACGGGAGGTGGCAGGCAGGGTTCTGCCAGGGAGTGCTCCACGGTTTTCCCACCCATTAATTAAACCCCGGGGGCACAAGTGAGGGTTGCACAGAGCCAATTTTCATGGTTCTTGCCCAGCCGTGCCCAGCCAGATGTGGCATCACGGCCACTGCTCCCTCCAGAGCAAGACCATTTGCATTTCACCCTTTTTTTCCTCCCAAGACATACTTCTCTGATTAAAGTTGCGTACCTGGAAGCATTAAACCCTCCAGCATGCAAAGGGGGAGGAAAGCAGAGCATGCAGAGGCCCATAAGCTGAACAATTCCTGTCTAGACCTCCCTTTTACATTTGTTCCTAATTTCACGCTCCACAGGCTCCCAGATTCATATATTTAGCAATAAATATCCTGGTAAAAGGAAGTGCTTTGCAGCTCTGCTGTGGTCTTGGAGGAGGTATGCAGGAGCCCTGGTACTGGGAACGCAGGCATGAGAGATGCAGTCCCAGAAGACACTCACTTGGCTCCTTCCTTGCCCCTCAGTAACATTAGGAGCCCTCCAGATACTGAGGATGCCTGAACCCCCCCCAGTCCCCCATCCCATCCGAATCCAACCCCCAGCACATCCTCCATCACTGCCAGACAGCGACTTCAGGAGGATTTTAACTCCACACAGGCTATTTGCCGCCAGCCCAGGAGCCTTTTGCTGTAGGAACACGGTCCCCAGTGTCGTGGGGTGACAGGGGATGGTGGTCCTTGGGGTTACTGGGAGCCACTGTGCTGGTGTGGGCACTCAAGGCTTGGAAGCAAGACTCCCCCTTCCCTGGCTTTACCTTCCTGGAGTCCAAAGGACAGGCTGTGCTGCAACAAACCAAAGGCACTGTACGGTTGCTACAGGCTGCTCCTGCATGAGCTGTTTGCTTTTGGTCACAATCCTGTGCCACATGCTTGCTTTTGCCTGCAGGTCCTTCAAGACCCTGCCATGGATGAGGTCATGGCTTTGAGGCCGAAATCTTCGCTAAGGGCCAGATCTGCATCAGCTTCTGCTTCCCCCAGGGGCTGGAGGGGGTCAGGGGAAGCTTCTCATGAGCGACAGAGAATGGGACTTGATAATGCAGAGGGGTAAAAGGGGTGGGATGAGAAATCATCCAAAGTCACCCCCCCAGCATCTTGAACACGGCCCCTGGACCACCGAGGGTGCCCGGTGCAGGGAGAGGCTGCTCACAGCTGTGCCTGGCTCCTGCAGATAGCTCTGTGCATCCAGTGCCTCTGGGGAGGGCTGCGTGGGAGGAAGGCTCTGGAGCAGCTGGGGGGGCTGAGCTCAGCCCATCCGAAGGCTCCAGCTAATACCCGGCTAAACCACGGCTCCGAAATACTGAGCTCCAGGTCCAGGTGCTGGAGTGCTCCAAGCATGGCTGGATCATGTGGACTGGCCTGACCCTGCCTGCTGAAGCTGTAGGAGGAGACCTGGGGATAGAAAAGGACACAGCTCCAAGGTTTTTTTAGGAGACCCTTAAGCATCCAGTTAAGCCAGCTTCTAGGATTTACAGGTATTAACAACAATCTTTAGGACAGACCCTTAACTGAATGGGGCTTCTACCTATCCCATCCCACCCCATCCCACCCCTACTCCGATCCCCAGGGCAACACAGTAACTCCAAAGCCTAGCTGGAAACACTGTCATGGCAAGCACTAAAAAAAGGGAATGCTGGTCCCACTGAAGTTGTACCTGCACAAGGAGTCTGTGTCTGACCTGCAAAGAGCTGTAGTCCACATCTTGTTCTGCCCTAGTGCTGCCTGCATCCCCCAGCAGATCTGGGACCTGCTTCCTCTGCAGCCAGAAGCACCACAGCCCTCTGTTTAACATGGAATTTGGGAATTGCCCTTATTCACCTGACTCCAGGAGCTGGAGATTTAAACAAAATAGCCAGACTGGGTAGGAAATGACAACTGGCAGCACAGACACCAGTGCTGACAGGATTGCTCCTGTCTGGTACCCAGCACTAGAGCAGACAGGAGCTTAGATCCCACCATAATAAACACACAGGGATGAACAGACAGCCAGAGACACCCCACACTCGGGGGACACTCAGTCCAAACCTCAGCATGAGACCCCAGCCCTCATCCACACTGTTCTGCTGCTCATAAGGGCGGTCCCATGCAGGGGAGTGAGGATCAGCTCTGTCCTGCACTTCCAAACAGCCAGGATGGAAAAAGGGGAGAAAAAGGCAAAAAACCCATTCCATCCTTTGCAGGGAGCAGAGGAGGCCAGCGTCGTGTCCTGAAGTAACACCCTCCTGCCTCTCCTGGCTTTGCTCAGCACGAGCACATCCCTGGCTCTGCTGTGTGCTTGGACAAGCTGCCGTGCGTGGGTGTCCTCCAGCACCCGGGGGGGCTTCCGAGGGGGGGAACGACCCTGTGTCCTGACACAGCCCCCCAGGCTGACCCTCATCCAAGTGTCATCTGGTGGGGGATCAGCTTGTTGGGTCGCTCTGGGGAGAAGACCCAAGGGAGAGACCTCAACAGAGGGATGATCAGGTTGGGAAGATTAAGTCCTGTGTGGAAACTGGGAGTAGAGCAGCTGTGCAGGGGGAAGCACAAATCTGACCCTCCGTGGTGGAGGGTCATGAGCTCTGCAGGTCTTGCCCTGGGTGGGCAATGCAGCCGTTTCCCAGCTCATCCACGTGCAAGAAAACCTGATACCAGCGCTTCTGACCAAGCCCCACTTCAGAAGAAAGGAAAAGAGCTCAGCAAGAGGCCAGGGAAATGTGAGAGCATGTGGATGATGCTGGTTGTCCAAGATATCCCTTCCCCAGGTTGCTGAGCCTCGCTGTTTTCTGCCTCAGAGCTGGGTAAAGGCAGCATTTGGGACCCAGGACCTTAGCCCAGAGTAACAAGAAATACCCCCTGTAATAAACTGTCCAGGGCAGGGCAGACTGGATCTGAGCCCTTGATGATGTAAAGTTTAGGGTGAGCCTGGCAAGTCCTGTTGCCCCCCTCAGTGCCATGTAAGTGTCACAGCTCTGCCCATGGACAAACCCTGGAGAACATCAGCTTGAAGGAAAGTCACTTCCAGCGGCCCTGGGAAGTGGGAAAGCAGCAAATAAATCAGGAGCCAAACCAGTTTGGTGGCAAATACGGCCTCACTTCTGCATTTCCCCCAGTTCCTGTAATCCTACCCAGTCAATGAAT